TTTTTTTTTTACACGAAATGGGACATCAAAAGTGGGGGTGCGTCTTATACACGGTGGCGCACTATACTGGAGTAAATACGGTATTTAAATTTGGGTAGTAAATAATTGGATATTAGAGAAGCATGCTACAAGAATTAGTCACTCAAACCTTGTCACATCATCACTGAGTTGAGAACTTTTGCATTAAATTGAGTTCAGCAGAATAACAATACTGTTGGTCATTTTTTCTAGTACTACCACTGATTGCTGATGTAAATTTAAAATGGTTTATATAGAAGATTGTCCTCCTTTGATCCCTGTCTGAAACAAATCTTCCATAAACCCACACTTAGTGATTTCCATTCAACTCAATGTCACACTGTTACTGTCAGGCCTATGTGCCTTAGCACTGTTTCCACTAGATGCAGTTACTTTCCGGTTCCGCTGGCAGCTTGTTACTATTACTCATTCTGACTGGTTCAATCCTACATTTCTTCCACTATTACTGAATGTCTTGAAATCTTTTCTAGGATGTACATGTTTGAGACAGAAAGGAAGCATATGTCCAAGCATGCATATGACCTGAGTCTACAGCTCCTCCGCAACCGATGGAAAGAGGCGAGTACATTCACGTCGAAGAAAGCTGCCGTCATCGACATCTGCCGCACTCACCAAAAGATCATGCGCAACCTTGGGTACAGAGAGGACATCCTCAACCTCCTCACTGAGGCATACATAAACTTTGTTGGGAAATCACTCGAGAAGGTGTGAGCCAAAATGGAGTGCTGTGACATTTTTGGGTGGTGTTTCTGGATTTCATTCATGTTTCTGGAAGGGGAATTCTTTTTTTTTTCCAGGAAAAAATGGAATCTCAGAGAGAAGAGGCATTGAAGTTTGCCACCCAACACATCTCTCTTGGCTCCAAGGCCCTAAAAGCCATTCCAAACCCCAGTGTGGTATGGTTCTCTTACTCTTCTTCCTCAAATGATAACTAATGTATCTCGAATGGGTTTGTTCCTTAGCTGATGTGTATCCTGTTTAATGATTTTTTTGATGACTAATGGTTTTCAGAAGCCAGATGGCACTTCTCCAAAAAGAGGTAGACCAAGGGGATCGACAAAGAGAGGAGGTATAGTGAAGCGACCAGTGCCTCTAGATATTGCAATGCCAAAGCAAGGAGACCCAAAGATCCAGTTGACACGCATCGATCCGTCGCTGATCTACGGTCTGGAAGTTCGTGCCAGCAGTCCCAGCTCTCAGCCTCCACCAAAACAAGTGAGCCATTCTTAGTGCAATTTCTCAGTTGGTAGGATAAAAATTTCAAATGGTGCTTGTTGGGTATTGAACAGGTTAAGAGAATGCTGCCAGAGGTGGGAGGTGAGAAGTTGCATGTACAATCCCTTCCTCAACCCCCTCCTGCACATGCAACTTCTCAGAGGCCTGTTGGAATGCCACCAAAAATGATAGGGTATGATCATGAATTTGCCAAACGGGGGAAGCCATCTACATCCCTCATATTCCCACGTCGTCCCAATCTATCCATCACGCCGGTGGTGGACCTTCGAAAGCCCCCGGCGAAAGTATTCAAGCCTAGCATTTCGGTCGTTCCGCTTCCGAGTCCATCGATATCTGTTGCAGTGCGCAAAGACCACGATCAGTCCAAAGGACAAAGGAAAAACGTCCCAGAGATGTTGGCCTCCCGTCAGGGCCTGCAGTGCATCCCAGCAGATCTGCAACATGCTCTTCAAGGAAGCTGACGTCTTGTTCTAGAACCATAGGCCCGACGAAGATAAGACGTCGTTTTGGGACTCTAGAGGTAGTTCGAACGAGCAAGACCGTGTACTACAATAAAATTATATGAAAAAATAAAATTATTTTAATAATTTTTATAATTGATAAAGAAATAATGGTGTCATTATTTTGTGTTTCACACACAGACTCCATAGGTGCCTTGGAAATTTTGCAGAGACCCTTATTTGGCCAAGGAGGGAATTGTTTTGATCCACAACTAATATTTATGTAATGTGTACTAAATGACTGTAGTCATTTGGAAGCTACTTGAATATTTCCTGTTTATCTTAACGTATCCTGGATATTGATATTACGAGGGAAAAAAAAACTCATCCATTTAGCGATTTTTATCTGTCCCCCATAGAGAACTGATCCACTTACACGCACAAATAGGAAGTAGGTGTGCATATATTGATGCCTGGAAGGTTACATAGGTGTATCTGCTTTTAGAACTGGTAACTCAATTATAACTGCAAGAATCTTGAAAAGATACTTTTTCACATTGTGGGTCAAAGTACACCTACTCCCCTCCCCCTTTGGTCAAGGTAAAGTTGGCACAAAGATGACTTGTGCTTCTTGATGCGATCTGGGTGAAGACAGAGGAACCTGGGGAAACTAGCTTCCCTGATGGATACAATCCTGGTGAGAATCCTGTGACAATCACTGGAGCTCCTCCTGCATCAGATTTACTTTTCCCATCCGATAATATTCGACAGTGATCGAAATCCTCGTAATTAAGTCATGAGATTCATTGCCTGTTGAAATCAGACTTGTTGGAGAGGCTCGCTCAGTCTTCTCGTGGATTTTCGAATAAAATTAACTTTATATTGTCAAACTTGAAAGTAGTCCTTCCTCGTTGCAATCTATGCAAGAAAAACTCAACCACGTTCCACTTTACCAAGGTCTTCAATCTTGAGCCTGGTTCGCAATCTAGCCAGGCAGCATCACAGTTACTGGATTCACAATACTTGCACTTTCAATGTATCAGTTTGAACAATTTGGAACCATTCCCTTTGATGCGCTGCATAGAGAAGATCGAGTTTGCTCGCGAGCAGCTTTGCTCTCCAGCAACGAAGAATTGCTACAAGCTTTAAGAGCAGGAGCATGAACAAGGCCGAATAGGCCACGATATTAGATCACCTCCCCTTCCCCCTCGCACGTGCGTGAAACAGAACCTTACTTACGCCTAGGAGCTTGATGTTTGTGTGCTTCGTAAGACTCGACTCTCTCCTCATTCTCCAACTACTACAACTACAACTAACAAATGTTATTTTGGTAACTTGAAGAGTAAGTGTCTCAAAGATAAAGGATTCGCTAGTCGGGAAAATATATGCCCGAGGCTGTGGATCTTGCGCTGCTGCAAAACTGAATGAGAAAATGAACAATGCAGTGGAAGGATTGTTGAAAAGTCGTGTAGACCTCCAAGGGAAGTCCTTCTCGACGGACTCGATGCATCCCAGCAAGGCCACTAGTAGGGTGTGCCGAATAGGGTAAGAGATCGTTGCTCCATTACTTCGAAGAGAGTAAGTGGTGCTGCTAATGAGGTTCGCTGCTGCATATGAAGTGATTTCCACACCATGCATGTGAGTGGAGCAAAGTTCGCACAATACATTTTAAATTTAGAATGGCATTTACTCCATCTACTTGGTATCCATTATGAAACGAAGTTCTCAAAATGAAGAATTTTCATTACTATTTCACTTTTGATAATCAAGAGAAATGGTGTCTGGAGTTTAAATGGATAATTGTCAAATTGAGATTGGCAATGAAGTCAACTCACTCTTTTTTTGTTGTGTGAAGGGATGGTAGAAGGGTTCAAAGTCTATTTTTTAAATGGGTGTCAACAAAAGAGCCTTCCCTAACAAAACTCTACTAAAGAAATGTCATGTCATGTCATATCCCTTTCCCTCAAGCACAGGGACTAAACAATTCTGATTTCAAGCAAATTTCACCAATGAATAAGTTCATGAAGTAATTCTCAAGCTGTGGATCCATCTGCAAATTTCCCACAAAAATGATACCACGGAAATCATGTAACTGCAAGTAAAGTTGACATGAAAAAAAAAGAAGAAACGAAGTACATTAGATTAATTTTGTCTACATTCAAAGTCAACAAAAATCACAAAGCCCAGAAAGATTTAATCTAGGATGAAGTAGTTAGTGAAGGCAAAGTGAAGTAGTGAAAACACATTCCCTTCCTTTCACATATTTGTATTTTTCCTTTACACTGAGCTACTGAGTTACTAAGCAAAAAAAAAACCATCCATATTGATATTGATACATAGGCATCAAAAGCTAAGTTAAGGAAAATTTTACAATGGAATTTTGATGGGGCACAATCAGAGTATAATAGTTCCAGCCATTGTCCTGACAAAAAATTATGATGAAAAAAAAAAATAAAAATGAAAGTCTCAACCTGATGGGAGCACAGACTGAAAGACAAAGACAATGTAAGATTTGGACATGGGATTGCATTGTACTGTAATGTCATCAGCTAAGTAGCAGCATTTCAGCATCCTGTGCTTATGCTATATAGCACTATCCTTCAATGTGTTAAAATTTTATACCCAGGACAAATAAGCAGAGTATTACCATCACAATCATAATTCAAAAGTTGAAGTCATTACAGGGCAATTTTTAAAAAGTAGTGTTCAAAATATGAAAATGGTTCTTCTCTCAACCAGAACATATATAGGAGAGGAAGTTTAAGGAATTATCGAGGAAAAATGTCAAAAGGATGTCCATTTCCTTTGGTGTTGGGAATGCCCAGGATCCTTGATTGCCTTGTGTCCTTTGTTCTTCTCTCAACCAGAACATATATAGGAGAGGAAGTTTAAGGAATTATCAAGGAAAAATGTCAAAAGGATGTCCATTTCCTTTGGTGTTGGGAATGCCCAGGATCCTTGATTGCCTTGTGTCCTTTGAGGAAGTCCAATAGGAGTCTTAGTAGTGGAAGCGATCCATGGAACCATCACAGGACAGGACTGCACTTATAGGGGACCAGACCTTCTCCTACGTCTTTTCAACAAAAGTACTCTAAACGAGTTGTAGTAACGAAACATGGTCACCTTTATATTACGAACGAAAGTAGACATGAAGTTAGTGAATTTTTTTTGGCAAGAGTGGGGGAACAAACCAAAGACTAGCAGTTGCAGAAGAAAATTTGCAGGGCTCTCATAAAGAAATACATTATGGTATTCACTACTTCCCCAAACCCAGTGAAGGACTAAACTACAAATACTAGTGCTTTTGGCTCCAACACTTGCTGACATATCTTACTTTTATTTCAGAAAATGTCTTACTCTCTTGTAACTCCTTGAACATGTGGTATTGGACAATTTCCTGCTGTTATACACCAGAATTTTGCATTAAATAAAATTATATTTAGTTTCTGCTACAGTTCTTTACTTAATGCCATTACCTCTGACATTTTCCCCCTGTGAACAACCAGTAAGCATCATGTGTATACTAAATTCAAGAAAATGAATTTTCTCCATGGCTTTCTGAAACTGAAGGCAATTCATGTACCCTGAGCCAAATGCATATTTAATTTTCTCACTGATAGTTTGAGCTGTGGAGCATTACACAAATCAGCCAAGAGCAGAGAATTTTAATACATTTCTAACCACAGGGGAATCCAGTGCTGATCCTCACAGGTGATTCAAACATGCTGGTTGATAGCTCTTGTAGTGCCTAGGTTTTTGCAGAGATGAAAAATATACAGGAATCAGTGAAGAACAAGCTCCATTAGAAAACCAAGAACAACCTTTTTGGATGCAAATTTCGCACAGAACTTGATCCAACACGACAAAGCACCAAATGGACACTTCAGCCATCAGTTCTTATGCAAGTAGTAACTATCAACCTCTAAATATGACACGACAACTCAAATTCAGTTCAGTTTCTCCTCATTCTTTGGGGCTGAATGAAAAAGCAAAATCCCTTAAATTCTGTTTGATCCCAATATAGTTTTACCAGGACAGAAGACGTGAGAGCAACAGAAAACTAAAAAAAACCGAAATAATTTTCCAATAGGAACAAAACGAAAGTCAATTTGAATCACAAACTTGTTGAAAGAGAATGCCAACGTTTCCACTGCACCCTAGAGTATAGCTGGAATGATGAAGCATACAATACAAATTTAT